TGGGTGGAATAAATGGCGACATGCAGTCTCTCATAGAAGGGATGGGAGACAACCGAGTCAACAAGCCAAACACATAAGACCAAGGAAGCCACATACTGAATTGCTACACAGCCCGTGTTTACAAAAGCCAGACCTGACTGGAGCCCTACAGGAAACTCTGCAAAGTGCACCCACCTCACAAACAAACACTCCCCTCTTCCTGGAAGTGGTCCCAGCTTTTATCCCTATATAGGACTCCTGACCCTTGTTTACTTACTGTGGGACACCTGGGGCTCATTTACCCAATGGCTCTCCCTGCAAGGCCGGCCCACCCTGGGGGGAAGCCTAAAGGCAAACTCACCCCCCCCCCCCTTTGGGAAGGGCTGTGGGAATCACCCACATGTCAGCCTTAATTTGGGGCTTGGAACCCCAGCATTTCATGGCCCTAATGTGGCACCACAGTCATGTAAAATCTTATTTACAGCTTTAACTGAGACTAAAACAACCACGCACAGATGAGTTCTGTGTTTACTGCAGTTTTACATTTCTGGCATGTTACCAGTTAATTGAGACATAAGGGAGTTTGATTCTTAAAGAGCAACTTTTACAAGTGTCTTCAAAATGAGCTTTGTTTTCAATGGGAGGGAAGAGTCGATGTGAACAAGAGATATAATTAACATTTCCTGCAACTATTTTCAACTCCCCTCACCATTACTCTTCCTGTGCCCTTATCAGCCTTGACCTCTCTGCTAACCCACTGTAATTAGCATAGGCTGAGTGTTTCCAAGGGACATGTAGCCCCAACAAACCCCTTTATTACTACTTTTAACGACTCATTAGTTGGAGCAAGTTTGAAAACATCATTGCCACAGCTGAAGTGGAGTCACTGCTTGCCTGGTAACTCACTCAGTTAATATTAAACAGCCAGCTGCAATTTTAAAGCATCAGTCAGGACGTTGCTATGAATAAAAACGATGATCGAAAGCAGCCAAGTGGAGCAGCACTGCAGAAGGGATGGGCCTGGGTGAGGTCTAGGCTGT